GACGAGACCGATCCACATTATTCATCACCTGCTGAAATCGCTCATATTAATGAAAATGAAATGAGGGATTGATTTTTCCTTCGTTTCAATAAAGAAAAAAAAAACATTTTTTCATGTAAGAATAATTAACTTTTATATAGATATGATATTAATTATAAAATATTCAATTTCATCAGTCATCAATGGCACCTGATCTCACCTCTGATGTTTTTGGAAGTCCGTGCTTACTCTGTTCCTGATCTTTTGTTCAATAGATTTTGTGCTTGACTACTGTGCTGTATCTCTATATTTTATTCATCAATTAATTTTATTCCTATTTGTTATTTAATGTTCTTGATTGAATGTAAACAAACTTTGTGAACATAAAGTTCCTCCAAGTATCATGTTGCAGCCTTTTATCTCATCTGAGCAAAAGCCCAAGTGAGTTTTTTTTATTTGCAGTCCGTCTGTCTGTAATTTTTTAAATACAATTTTGATAATTATCAAGAACAGTTGAGCCATTTAAAAAAAAAAAAACTTGCCAGATGCATTCTTGGTTAAAGGGGATTCAAGGTCGTTCAAATGAAGGGCTACGCCTAGCTCAAGGGGAAATAAATTAGAATTAATAAAAATTTGGAGGCATGTTTCAAAAATGTTTTTCTCAAGAACTTCTATGTCATGAAGTGGGAAACTAATTTGGAAATATTCAAAGGTAGTGTTAATTCAAGTTTGTTCAAATTATGACCCCTGGCGGTAGGGCGGAACAATCAAGGACAATCAAAGTTTTATATTGAAATTGAGAAGATTAAAAAAAAATAATAAAAAAAAACTTCTCAAGAACAGAAGCCATGAGTGGTTATACTTATAGGGAAGCAACCTCAGATAATGTAGATTAAAATTTGTTCACCTTACGACCCTCAGAGTTTGACGTGGCCACATGGGACGAGCAAAGTGGTGCATAGGAATATATGAATAAGATTTTTGATACTTTTATCTCAAAAACAGGAGTGCCATGATTGGACATATTTACGTGTATCTGGAAGTGTTGATTTCTATTTGTACAATTCATGAACCCCTGTGGAAGTGAGAGGGATGTGGGTTAAGGTGGGGTATCTATAGTTGTCCAACCATAAATAATAAAAAAGCACATATAGTCATAATTTGCTCAAGTCATACCTTTCCCCTTTAAGGGTATGTTTGGACCATTTATGGATCTAAAATTTACATACTCAACTTATTTCTGCTTTTTTCCTAGCCATATCTTTAAGGTGAGAGTTGGGCCCATGAGCCTCTTGTTTTAAAATATAACTGACATAACTGACAGGAGAGAGTAATCTTACTGGACAGAGCTTCTGTACAAAAACTTGGGAAAATCTGAACTGCAAATCTTCTAATGTTGTCTATGGAATAGAATGTAATCTGTGTGGACTTATTTATGTCGGTGAAACCAAGGGATCGCTTAACAAAAGAATATCAGGTCATCGATTTCAAATAAATCATGGTGGTCAGCAGCTTTTATATAAACATTTTAATTCACCTGATCATTCTATTTTATCAATGAAAGTTAGAATTCTGGAAAAGATTTATCACCACACAAATAGTCCGTCGTTGAGTACACCTTTCCGTAGACAACGTGAAGAATTTTGGATTAGGAAACTAGGGACAGCCTTTCCCTATGGATGTAATGACAATGTCGATAGTGTTGGAAATCTTACAAGCCCGCAGTGTAATAATGTAAATGTGATGGGACTTTTTAACAATACTCAGAGACGTAAGCGTAGTCATGGACATCGTTCGTACAATAAACCTGCAATACACGACGTCTCTTTTGATTCATTACTACCTTATGTAAATCAACAGTTCGGTCTACATCATATTCGAACCAAACTTTACTCTGTCCCTTTGAAACTTTTAAATAGTCTTCTTGAAAAGACCAAGAAACATCCAAATTAAGATTCCTCGACACCTGAATATAGGCTCGGTTCTGTGATTATGGATATTGCACATCATAGGCTTTTTTAACCCGCACGTTTCACGGAAGAAAATGCAGCTAAAACAGTCCGTCTTTTCCTTAAACTTCAATATGCCAATAAAGGAATTGACGCGGTTAATATAAGTAATATTCTTAATCACAAAAGGGTCCAGTCTTGTATTCCACCATATTTCAAGTTAAAGACTACGCCTTGTATTTCCTACAAATAAACATCGACCATTGCTTCCAAACATTTCAATTACAAAAACACTTTACATGGCCTGGATATCGACTATCTGAAAAATAATCCCCCTTCGTGTTCATGTTCTTCTTCGCCCTATAACTATAGTCCTGCTGGACACGTTATTACAGGTGACGTAAAAATAGTTCGTAATGAGGACCTTAGATCACTTATCTTAAGGTAGTACGAGTGTGAAATCAAAGTAATGGAAAACAAATGATTTTGGTATTAATGGATACACATATGTATAAGCAATACATGATTATAATATAAAGAAAAAGAGTGTAGCCGTTTGCCCCCTAGTGGTTGCCAAACTAAGGCAGGTAACTCTGTGTGATATTTTCCTTAAAAATATAGTCCTCACACCAACTTCAAAAAATATGTCAAATATTATGTAAAATTTTGAAATGTTAATTTTTATTAAACATGGAACATCTGTTCTAAAACTTAAAACAATAAAAAAAATTAACAAATTATAAACTGTGCTTGCGGCGCCACCTATGACGCGTAATTTTTTTCACCAAAATACTAAAGTTGTGGATCTTCATCAAATTATAAAACATAGACAGAGTAATGGAATCATAAAAAACAATTTATTTTCTAAAAATATAATAACAATCAATCAATTTGTCCAAATTTCAGAAAAAAAGAGTGGAGCCATTTTGAAAATATTTAACCCGAATTTCCTCTGATCAGCTTTTCTCTGCAAAATTCTCATAATTCAACTGCTCTAAATTTGTCTTCATTTATGATACAATAAAAAAACAACTTAAATGGAAAATGAACATGGTACAATATTTTATAAACTATATATTACCTGAACAATATTCATTTGTTAAATAAAAAAAGTCAATTTTTCATTAAATGTCCTCCATAGCCATCTATATTGTCCAATTAATCGACACAATGAAATTTGAGGAATATGAATTTTTATCACAAATTTTACAATATGCAGAGTAATGGAAATAAAAAATGCATAGGTTTTACATGAACTAAAACAACAATCAATTATTGTGTGCAAGTTTCAGAAAAAAGAGTGGAGCCATTTTGAAAATATTTAGCCCGAAATTCCTCTGATCAGCTTTTTTTTTGCAATATTTTCATGTTTACGACTTCTCTAAAAGTATTAATTGATCCTCATTTACATTTCAATAAAAAACAATCTAAATAAAAATGAACATGTCACAATTTTTATGATCTATATATTACCTGAACAACTTTCATTTGTAAAATAAAAATAAAAAAAAGTTAATGTTTCACAATGTACATCCTTACTATGCCACCTAGATATTGTCCATTGGCTATAACAATGAGATATGAGAAATATGAATCCTTGTCACATATGTTACTACATGCAGAGTAATGGAAACAAAAAATGCATAGATTTTACATGAAATATGACAACAATCAATCAATGAGTCCAATATTCAGAAAAAAGAGTGGAGCCATTTTGAAAATATTCAGCCCAAATTTCCTCTGAACATCTTTTCTCTGCAAATTTTTCATGTTTATGACAACATTATTCCAATAACATTTCCAAATTATACAATACGAGGGCCGTTCAAAAATTACGCGGACTTGTTGCAGAGAAAAAATATTTGACGACATAATCGGGCAAAATGTCACACATAATATAAAAGAATCTTTACTTATATGGTCTTCAAAATTTCACATCAAAATGTTGTAAATTGGTATCAATTTTGACTGATTTATCAGGACATATCATTCAGTCACGGCGCAGCAAAATCTTCGACGTCACAGGCATTTCAAAAAAAATATGTGTTTGAGATTCATTTTTTCAACATTTTCCCAAGAGTTTATGTACAGTTTGAGCTACCTTATCTACTCAACATCCAAACACCATTTCTTGTCAAGCTTAAAATCTATTAAACAGGAAAAGAATATTCTTTTTTTGTTTTAAAACCAAAAACTGCAGGTATTTGTGAGATATATAGTGTGATATCGGTGACTCCTAATCATGTTCTTTACAGTCCGGACAAAGTTTTCGTCGATAATCTTCTTCCCGTCCTCTCGTATAGACTTTATACAGAGGTCCAACGGTCTAAAATTTCAATTTGCTATTTGTGGACGAATGTCACGAATACCCTAGTTTACGACATGTTTTATTATGCATATTTTGGATCTATGTTGGCGATATCTCGAGTATAACACATAATTTAACAAAAGTGTGGTGCGCCGTCAATTAACGAGACGTCATTTTCACAGTCGTTTACACGGGAATCGCATCGGAGAAAACCCACTATATTTCTGTTAGTACTTTAAATATCATGTCAGAAATCTAAATACATAATAATAAATCAATTCAAAGATAAATTTGAGAAAATTGTCGAAAAATATCGCGAATTATAGAAAATTATTGAGTTAAATTTTGGATTCCGCATGCTTTTGCTTCAGATTTTTTGTCGTGCGCCGTACCTCTCCATCAGCGATATCAACATACCGATAACTTTAGTAGAATTTTTTTAAAATACAGAATTTTTGCCAAAAATTTATTGGAATCTTTAAGATACATATATCTGTGAAATTTCATAACTATATGACGCCTGTAAGAGTAAATAATTGCCGAGTCCGCGTAATTTTTGAACGGCCCTCGTATGTATTAAAATGAATATTGTACGAATTTTATGAAATAATATTATATCTGAACTTTCATTTCAAGTATATAAAACAATAATTTCATGTATTATGAGTTCAGACATGACTTTACTAGTTTAAATAATGGAAGAGTGTCTGGAAAACCATGAACCTGTGTGACAATTCTTTCCATAATTTCACAAAACAGTATAATACTTGAAAAAGTACAGAAACATATTAATTTTTTATATTATGACCAAGTACCACCACATTGTCATTGGTAGACAAATAATCCAAAAAGCTTGTAGGACCTGTCCTTATGTTTACTGCTTTCACCTCTGTCATTGTGGTACATTTCCTTCCTCTCAGTCCTAGTTACAGTTATTTCTCTTACTTTTGGACAAATTGGAGTCTTTGGTTGTACATGTACATGTAAATATGTACTGGTTGAAGTGGTTTTCTCCATTGATGGCCGAAATTTGTAGTATATGTGTAGCATACGCTCTAGCTAAAATACAATAAAATAAATTATTATATATTCATTTATTAAGGTAAACTTAACTAGAAAAGATATGGTATAATAAATGTGATACTCCTCTACCAAATACAACACAATACAAAAGAATACATTTAAGTGATGTATCATTACCATTTAAAAATTATCCACTAGACTTGACTTTTTCAAAAGTAGGTCAAATTTCACACCCAGTTCAGTTAGTATGCCCTGGGTTAAAGTTTTTCAAAAGTTAGTCAAATTCCATGATGAAGGTAAAAAAATTTACCCATAAAAACCTCTCGTTGCTGGTATTTTGTCTTTATCATGAGAACTCCTCTGCAGCACATCCTGAAGCCTGCAAAGTTCCTTCCCTATTAACTTCATTTGTAGACGTATTCTGCTGCCTGTGAAATAACAAGGATACATGTATTTGAAGATTAACAAGTCCTTGAACAAGATATGTTTGTAAAACACTTATTGCTCCCTCCCCATTCCCCAAGATACCAGTAATTGGAATTTCTCTAAGTTGAGGGGATATAAATCTGAAAACAATGCTCTGATCTTACAAAACAAAGCATGAGCTCTTATATAGTCTTATGATAAATCTGTATACCAAATTTCATTTCAATATGTGCAACCTCTGCAAAGAAAATAAACAAAAACTAGTGGTGAACCGACATGCAGACTGACCGACTGACCAACAGACAGCTGCAAAGCAGTATGCCCTCCCTTGTAACTGATATCATACCCCTAACTGGAAAAAAATCATACCTGTGTGAACAATTATCAGTTATGAATATAGTATATTAAATTTTAACACAGTGACTATAGGTTTCTAGAAATTTGATCCAATATTAATGATATCATAGGGGGGGAGGGGGTGGGGCTTTGCCCCCCTCCCAACTTTCTTTGCGAATATAGATAATTTCTATGCATTGAAAATTGGGGTTTTATACCTTTTTTGTTGGTTTAGCTGGTTTAGCCTCCCCCGTTTCAATTTGCTTCCTACACCCATGGATATGACCTCGAATGTGATTTTGACACTCACTACTCAATAAGAATTGACTTTGAATTTTCTTGACTTTCCAGGTTACATGTACTTATAAATAAATGTAAATAAATGACAAGAAATTGTGCAATGTATTTATCTTGAAATAAAACCCCATAACATAAAATATGTGTTAAATTTATGCAGACCAACATATTTTTCTTCACCACAACCCTAGCATTATTTTTTTATATGCAGATTTGTATCTCTTATGGCCTTATCTGAATTATCACAATGTGTAAATATAGATGCTGCATTCACACATTTTTATTTGAAGATTTCAACACAATTTGAGTTCGTTTTATGAATCATTTTCATTCAATTTCAAAGACATATTTTCCAACAGAAAATTTCTCCTATTCATACATGAATCTAAACTTCTTCAAACTTTTTCTTCAACTTACATTACAAATTAGTTTCCTTGCAATCTTCGAGCACTTTGTTTACATGTAAAATGCCGGGTTATGTACTTTCTATTTCACAACGGGGAATAACTCTAAGATAATCTCGAAGAAAAAATGTTATCAACAAAGCAACTTGAATCACTGAATCGTTCATAATACATTTGATTTCTCGTTGATATTAGACCTAAATTATGTGCAGCCTAATTCCAATAACGTTTATTAAACACATTGTCTAGCCTCAGGGATATATAAAACTTGCACTTATTGATTAGACTGTCGAAATATGGGCACACAGTAACAGGTGAAATTTTGAGCCCCCGTAACCGTGTTTGGCGTGTTACATATATCCGATTCTTTTTTTCCTTACCGATTTTTGAATAGACACTACATCAACTTCTTCTTCTGATTGGTTTCTGTATCTTAAAAATCCGTTTGCGGGCGGCAAAGCTGCCCTTTGCACGTCCCATTTTCCGTTGTTCCTCATTTCGGGAAATCCAGCGCTGTCGTTACTATGGAGATCGGAAACGGGTCTGTTGTCGTAAAAATACGAGACGTACTCGATGACAATGCAGATATTTTAATATCCATTTTTAAACAGAAAAAAATAAGTAATAAAGTTGATTTTACAATATTATGAATTATTTAATTATGTAAAGTTAATATACACTTTTACTGACATTACTTTGAATGCGACTTTCATTCCAATTTGTGTTATGTAAAATGCTCACACTCATACAACCTTAAAAGGTCCTAAATATAGGGAACCCCGGTCCTTCAACTGGCGTCGGAATTTCATAAATATTATGGATTCTGTTGAAAATTACGCCAGACGATGGGCTAGATATGAAAAAGAAGACATTGACACCTTGTCAGAATGGATTAAATGTATCAGATCCATGTTAAAGTCACGTATTAAAAGATTGAGGGGCAAAATGAAAACCATCTATCCTTCTGTGTTCAATAAACCAGAAGTGAAAAAAAGAATTAGATAGATTACACGATCAGTACGTACTGGTTCCTGCCGACAAAGCAGGTAACAACATTGTCTTCGTTTGTAAGGCTCATTATATAAATTGCATTCTAGAAGATCTTGGATTTAATTCTACAAGTGGTAATCCTACTTATACATATACTTCTCTTTCTAAGGAAGAAATTCTTCAAAATCACCTGTCAGTTTTGAATACTTTTAATATTCCACAGAGCCAAAATGAATTTGAACTACCTTATATATATTGGATACCGAAACTTCATAAGAATCCTTACAAACAAAGATACATTGCAGGTTCCAGTAAATGTTCAACCAAGCCTCTTTCGTTACTTCTCACTAAAATTTTGACAGTAGTGAAGGAAAAACTTCAGGAGTACTGTACAACTATATATTCAAGAAGTGGTGTAAATCAGATGTGGATACTTAAAAATTCTTAAGAACTTTTGGACAATTTGAAATCACAAGACTTTACAAAAATCAACAGCATAAAAACTTACGACTTTTCAACTTTATACACAACAATTCCCCAGGACAAATTAAAATCCAGGCTTTTTAAAATCATTGACAGCTGCTTCTTCAACAAAAATGGAACTCGTAAGTTTACTTACCTCGTCATTGGTCATTTGAAAAATTATTTTGTTAAAACAGATTCTGATTGCACACATAAGTACTCTGAAGTTGACATCAAGAAGATGCTTGAGTTTCTGATTGACAATATCTATGTGGTTTTTGGAGACCAGGTATTCCAACAATCTATTGGAATTTCCATGGGTACAATTTGCGCTCCGTTATTAGCAGACTTATTTTTATATTCATATGAAGCAGAATTTATGCAAAATCTTTTGCGTGAAAAAAAGAAAACACTTGCAGTGGCCTTCAATTCGACATTTAGATATATCGACGACGTATTGTCAATTAATAATGATAATTTCCATTCCTACGTCGACATGATATATCCTGGTGAGCTTGAGATAAATTAAAAGATACCACAGAGTCCGACACTTCTGCTTCATACTTGGATATTTTACTTGAAAAAGACACTAATGGTAATCTAACAACCAAGCTATATGATAAACGTGATGACTTTAACTTTTCTATCGTCAACTTCCCTTACTTATGCAGCAATATACCTTCATCACCTGCATACGGAGTATTTATATCTCAGTTGATTCGATACGCAAGAGCATGCTCTACGTATGAACAATTTCTTAAACGAGGTAAATTATTGACAAGCAAGTTGATGAAACAAGAATATCAACAGTCTCGTTTAAAGTCATCATTTCGTAAATTCTATGGTCGATACAATGACCTTGTCAGCAAAAACAATTTATCATTGAATGAAATGCTGACTGACGTTTTTCATACCAATTGTTAGTCCATTATTTATACACTGAATTGACCACGGATTTTTTCCGTTATTTCCTGATTATGACAACGAGCACACGGCGGGTGTGACCGGTCGGCAGGGGATGCTCACTCCTCCATGGCACCTGATCCCACCTCTGATGTTTCGGAGGTCCGTGTTTGCTCTGCTCTTATTTTGTATATTTGTTTAATGGACGTTGAGATTGAATACTGTTCGTTATTTCCATATCCTTCTTGAAGCATTCAATGAACCAGGAATACGCTTGTGTTTAAAAATAATTGGATGTAGTCATTGATCAAGGAAGTTAAGAACATATTTTATCTAAATAAAAAAATGAGTGTTCCGTGGTATACATGAGTAACCTGCTTTATAGCATCATTAAAGATGAAAATAACTTTAAGACAGGTCAGATTTTTTTCTTCTGCTGCGAGTATTTCATGTTTAGTACATGCCAAAATATTCCATAGATAGACAGACTCCGATATAAAATAAGACAATTAAAAATATAAGATGATTTGGAATTCTCAGGGACAGGACCGACCCCCCCCCCCTCAAAAAAAAATCATCCCCTTGGCAAGTTATGTATTTCTTTACAAATTATATTTTACTCTTATTTAGTATATGTTAACTATAGGAAATGTAGAAAAAACGAAAAAAAAAACGTTTCTGCACAAACTTCCCCTACTATACCATACAGGAGGATGTTGGATGTTTTATGTGAATCGATTATCTTGTTTTTTTTTCTTCTCGATTTTATTGGTATACATGATATATTTATAGTGTAATAAATATTACTTGTTAAGAAATATATAATAAGCCCCGGGTTGTTTATTTTCTTGCTAAGGAATAATGATATATGTGGTCATGTACCTGCTCCGAAGCGTTCTCTTTCAAACGTTGAACATTTTTTTTTCTAAGTTTTATTTTTCCTTCCATACAAGTTAATTCTTATGAGAAGAAAAAAATTTTCGTAAGATCTTGAAAATCTAGGCAACAGAATGACTGGTTAATTATATCATTTCCCAAATTGAGCATGGCGACCATCAAACCCCAAATTCTATGTTTCGGGAGAGTCGTTTATTCAAGGTGGATATAGAATGGGTGCCTCCTTATTATCATATTTAACACGTTAAAAATCAATCATAGTTTTGTCGATGTAGAGAATGTGCATAGCTTAATTGGTCAATAAGTATTCTTGTAAATTTACTCAATAGGTTTGATGAATAATTATTTGAAGCAGGATAGACAACTTTTCGGTGAAGACATCAATTCAGGATTTGAGATAATATTGTTGCGTTTAACGAAGTTTTCTTTTGAAATTTGAAATAACTGTTGTTGACATGTTCGGCATTTTCGGAGCCGGAACCTTATGTATATAAATTTCTTAAATATTTGTCAATAAACAATTAAGGAAAGAAATGAACAATAATTGACTTAATTGAACTTAATCCCTTGAACGTGAATAGTTCTAACAACGACAAAGTGTTGTATTCTTTATTGATTTAGATGGGCACACCTTTTTTTTATAAATTAAGTAATTTAAGACAGTGGTACGAGGGGCATTTCAAAAGTCCTGAGAACTGTTTGATAAAAAATTAAGCGTTTCTCGGAAATTATTGAGTTTGGTATCATTGGAAAGATAAGAAAAATATACAAATATTATGACGTCACTTTATAATTTTTATGACGATATATCTCCGAAAATGACGTCAGAATATAGAATGTTTAGCATACTGAAAACTTGCGTTTTTATCCACATGGCACAATTTTAAAAGTGCTGCCAAAGGCTTATTTGAAAATATATTTCAAAGAAAATTTTCATTTGCAAAGAAGTTGAGTAGGACTATGGTACTGTTTATCAACAATACTATATTTCATCGTTTTGTTCGTTTACTAGCGCGGTTTATGCCCGGTTATGCTATCATCGACATTCATCCAAGATTTTAAGTTACATGATACAACTGGATTTTCGGTCTTTAATATATTTCTCCATTGTATAAAATAAAACATTTTCTGCATAAAACTAAAGTATATTAATGCAATTTTCAACAAATATATATTTGAGTAACAGTACTCTTACCGTTTACAAATAATATGTACAAAAGTCTTGCCCTGACTTGTTTCTGTACGTATTTTTTTCTCATTAATTCAACTTCGGCGCCCACAAAACTCAGTACTGCTTTTGACTTTTGACTCCAAAAAAAGGTTTTTAAGTTACACAGACATGTCGAATCTTATTTGATTTCCATGAATTAATTTTTGCGAATATGTGGAGGTACGGTGGGGTTACAACTGCGCCCGCGCCATTTTGGATTTTACGAGAAAATATGGGGCACACTAAACTTTACTTCTCTTGAGCCTTCACCGATCCCACAAATATGGTTAAAACACCTGACGAATTGATGCCATGAAATTGTGTGACACGATCGTCTATTTTTCTTTGATTTTCAACTTTGCCTTATTCTCACAGTTGGGTCTGTTTTACGCAATATTCTGAGCAAGATTCGATAAAAACTTGCTATGTTTGACAATCGCTTAAACCATTTCAGAACAAGAAGATCTCTGAAATAGACCACCATACGATAGATATTAGTCTATGTAAAGATTCTACCAACTGTCATTTACGTCCGATAGCTTGCACCCGAGTAATGAGCAAAAATTGTTTTTAAAATTTTACATTGATGAAATTGTGTCTTTTGTTACGTCATTTTTATGGTCAGTATTGTAAGTATGCGGAAGTTTGACGTCATTATCGGAGTTATTACGTCATAAAAATTATAAAATGACGTCACAATACATGTGCATTTTTTCTGCTCTTTCCAATGATACCAAACTCAATAATTTCCGTAAAACGGTTAATTTTTTATTGAACAGTTCTCAGGACTTTTGAAATGCCCCTCGTATGTACAAACAGTATCAAGTCTATGTATACGTGATCGTTATTGGCACAGTCGTTTAGAGCCAAGTTAGTAGAAACGTGTTAGATTGATCATTGGTTTTTCATCTTTTTATTGCCCAAATAACGTTGTACCAACCAAATTACAGACTAAAGTGTTTAAACATTTTTAAGTGTTTATAAATGAACCATTTTTTCGTCTTAATAAATACTATAAACTTTAAACAAAGATTTTTTCCTAAAACCTCTTATACAAATATTTAAAGTGAACCCAAAATAAATAATTTCGTCAACCTTTAATTTGCTCAAAAATTAGTTATTCATCATTACATAATTAACTTTACCATCAAACCTTGACAGTGACCAGATTACTAACAGCGACCCAAAAGTTAGTTTTTACTCTATACCCTTGGTTTCGCTACATTGTTGGCAGCGGTGGAATCAGCTGTTCAAAGAAATTTGTGACAGTGGACCATTGAAGCAGAGTTCTT